GGGCTAACGGGCGCAAGACGTGGACCCTCTGCCTCCGGTGGGCGCTGGGCTGGGCCACCACGGGGCAGCACGGAATACTCCACAGTCTTGCAAAGATCAATCAAAAGGCCGTCAATTGTACGAGAAATGGTCAATTCGATTCAAATCTGGATGACGAATTTTCGTCCAATGACGGTCTCCTGATTGATCTTTGCAGACTGGGCTTCGCGTACAACTAAAGACGCGGGTTTCGCAACGCGAGCGCCTGGTTGTTTGTGCGCCGGGTGAGTGGGAGGAAAATACTTTTATCAGTTGGGATCCACTCCGGTCGGCTCTAAAGACAGAAACAGAGCTGGCGAGCGCGGAGGCCCATCATAGGCAAAGGGAAACCGCGACCAACTCGGAGCCAGGACTGTCACAAAAAATAAAAACAGAGAAAAGGGAGCCTACCAGTACTCTCCCCGACATGGCTTTCCCCGTCTAGTAGCGTTAATTTAGAGGTTTGTCTACACCGAACAGGTTGCGCACATCTGTTCGACACCATGTGTCGCGTCCGGGGGGAAGACTGCCCCTCACAGTCAAAAAGTGACAGCAGTTCTCGACACCCACGACCTACGCCCACGCACGGCTGCGACACCACGAGCGAGGACCATCATACCTTCTTCCCGTTGACGAAAAACACGAGGGTGGACGAGACGATCTGTGCTCCCGGCATGGTGACGATGACGATGTGGTTAATCCAGACAGATGCGGTGTTTTGGTGCGGGGGAACGCGCTCACATGGATCCTCGTCGGCGGCGCGCTGTGTTGCTGTGTAACCCTCACACCGCGAGACCCTCGCTCAGCGCCGGTTATCTCTCAACTGCCTGCGTCTTCTCTGCCCGGCCCGGCCGGCCGCGGCAGGCTAGGCCCTGGCCGCCCTGGCGGAGCAGGCGGAGCACCCCGTGGGGACCGCCGCAGCCCGCAGCCGCCGCTGCAGCCGGGCCGGCTAGCTAAGCCTTCCTTCTCCAGCCGGCTGAATGGAGCTATCCGTTTTCACTCCATCCTCCTTCGGAAAGCGCGCCCCCGCCCCCAGCTTAGTGTGCGTACACAGAAAAACAACCCAGCCAATAAAGGTGGTAAGCGCAATATTCTAAATGCGCTTACTAAACAATATGACAGTAAAAGTTAGCCGTGTGTCGCATAAATTCACTGGGCCAACTCCAGGGATTCTGGGTAGGCAACAAACTCGAAAACGACATCTAAGGTGGATGGGTTGCCTATTTCGAGGGGTAAGAGGGGGGGGGGGGGTGCAATATCCTGACATTCCCTGCAATGTGAAAATGACAGCTCACGTTCATAGACCACTGATTGAACAGTGTGCCAGTAAGCCAGCCACATAGCTCTCCTCTACAACGCCGCTCAATATTATGTGAGCTGTTCGGTGCTGCTCTGCTGCTGCTGCTGCTGCCAGCTGACTCATGTTGTTGTTGATGTTGTTGTTGGTGCCCCCGGAGCAGAAACCAATTTTGAGCTGTCAAAAAACAGACGGCTGCGTCCAGGGCGTGGTCGATTTACATTTAAAGGAGGTAATAACATTAATTGCGTATAATTGTAAGCTGCCCCAAAACTCCTTCACACTTGAGGCTAGATAAATTTGTAACTTTTTAAACCAAGGTACATTTCAGAGGTTAGGAAGGTATCACTTAATAGCGCAGAAGATTGAGGGAGGTAACCAGTGAATTGTCCCGATAAATATCAACTATGACAATCATGACTTATCGCAACAGGCTGTAACATTTTAAGGAATAAAATTTATCATTTTATGAATGAGTATCTAATGCCCTACTTTTAGATTCTATGCATCTTTAACAAATTGATTAAAAAATTGCTACAATTGAACTATGCATGCTTGCTTACTTTTGACATTTAATGGCTGAGTACCATAGTTATCTGGGGACAAGAAAACAAACAACTCAGCAGGTGTGTTACATGTGAGTGCTAATTACAAGTTACATGGTACAGCCTCCAAGTGTCAATTATCTCATCACAGCTGAAGACAGCTTTTAGTCTGCTGAGTGGCTAACTGACAGCTCCATGCACTAGTCTATCTACATAGCTCTGCTCTTGTGCCCATATCAGTTAATCTATATTGGGAGCTTATCACATGACCAATCACATGACCTGTTGATTGATGTCTTTGTCGTTACGCTAACAGATTCTATCAACATGGCTAAGGCACTAGCAAGTCTAAATAAAAAGAGAAAGTCAATTAGTTTTTTACCAAAGCCAAAAATACTTCACTTTGGTAAGAGTGAGGGAGGTCATAGTAAAGGCTCGGAGGGAAAATGAAAATGAGCAAGCATAAGAAGGACTGTTTTCTGATGATTTGTGTTTTCAGGACGTCAAGATGTCTTATTGCGGCGTGACAGTACAAACAGCAATAGAAGAGTAAATGTCAAGACTGTGAAACAAAAGAAGATGGGTAAAACTTCTCGTGTAGTTGTATGTGGTATGGCAGGAGTTGGAAAAACTGCCATTCTTGAGCAACTGATTTTTGGAAATATCACACCTTCAACAGTATGTATCCATCATCCATCACCCAAAGTGTTACAGTGGAGAAAGTTATTTAAATTTCTTGCTTTGATTTTTTTAGGAGTCATACCCAACAATTGAAGATATTTATGTGGCTAATGTAGAAACAGAACGTGGAACAAGAGAAAAGATGCGCTTGTATGATACTGCAGGATTACCCCCTTTGTCAGGACCAAATGCTTCATCAAATGCATTTCAACAACAGCAGCAGCAGCAACTCGCAAAGCAACTGTTGGGCCTCACGGAGGGTTATGTGCTAATATATGACCCTGCCAAACCTGAATCTTTTGAATGTTTGCTCCCATTAAAGAGGGACATTGACAAGAATCGAGATAAAAAAGAGGTATGCTATATTTGTACTACAGTAAAAACAAATTAAATTGTCTTGTTTTAATAATTATGATAAATTTTAATCAAATTAAATTACAGGTAGCTACAATTGTTCTAGCCAACCGAATCAGGGTGTTTAACAGTAGTTTCACTGGCTCAGGAAATGAAACTCCACCCCCAGCAAATTTGACTGCCGCAGCTACCCTTAATAAAGCAAATACTTGGGCATTGAAAGAGCATATAAAGCACTTTGAAGTGAATGCAATGGAAAGAGCATCACTTTTGGAGCCTTTTGTGTACTTAGCAACCAAATTAAATCCACCCCAAAACAAAAGTTCCTTCCCACAGCTGAGTATGGTGAGGAAATCAATATCTAACCGTCCAGAAGCAGCACAATAAGTGCAGTGTTTTGCTTAGCAATCATCATCAATTATTAATTATGCATTGCCCTTGTTCTGAAAATTGGAAACTATAATGTAATTTTTTTTTCTGTGATAAAAGTTATAAGGTAAAGAACTTAATTGTTCAGATTAGAAATATTTACAGTAAAAAGCCTCAATGTGATAAATAAAACATTCCTTTCAACTAAACATGAAAATACATGCATTTCTGTTGCTGATTCAACAGCGAGACCGTTTTAACAGTGATGAAATAAAAAAATCAAACCGTACTTTACTTTACTTTGGTCTTCCTCTGTAACTGCCACCTTTCTTTCCCCTTTTATTGGGAGTATTTTTACTGTCTACTTCAGACTGAAAAGAAAAAAATTGTTTCCATTATTCCCTTCAATCTCTCCTGGGAACTTTAACTTAAGAGAAAACAATGATACTAACCTTTCTTTTCTTAGGTCCAGCATTTGGACTTTGCAAAACTTTAAAGAAACCATCTAGACGACCTTGGGTTGTGCCTGATCGAGCTTTGGCAAGTTTTTTGGCTCCATTCCTAACTCTCTCTTCATTGAAATTTTTGTCACCACACAGATACTTCACAAGACCCTCTTCATCAGGTTCAGACCACTTCAACTGCAACAGAAATTATGACTTTTAATAATGGTCAGATTCCTAAAGGATATATTACACAGTGATAAAACTTACATCAACCGTCTCCGGATCTGCAACTTCAGGTTCAATAAAGAGTCTTCGGGCTTCCTTGTAAGGCCAATTTTCAGGGACAGGGTATTTATTCTTATCTAACTTCTCAAGAATTGTTTCAATATTTCTGTGTTGTTTAATGAGCTCTATGGCACGCTTGGGACCCACACCTCGAATACTATCACAATAATCACAACCAAGAAGAATGCAGAGATCAATAAACTCATCACGGGTAAGTTCTAATTCTTCTAGCACTTTATCAAAATGGAATTCTTGAATTGGCATTTTCCTAGCTTCACTAAATGTCAGGTGACGTAAGAGGACAGAAGAGCCAAATGTAAGGGCATCCATATCCTCTGTTGCTGTTGCATACACCTTGCCAGATTTTGCCATTGCTGCGCATTGGGCTTCTGCTTCACAAGGAGCCTAGGGACACAAGCAAGAATTAAATATAGTGAAAGTGTACAGAGGAAACATTTTAACCATATTCTTCAGTTTAAGTCTTCAATGACATCTTACATCAATGTATGGAACACCCATTAGCTTTAGAAGTTCTTTGCAGTCCTCACCATGTTGTTTAGTTACTTTCACAAGACGTCTGTTAAATTTGTCGATGTTTTCAGCATCACCTGACAAGGGGCAGTCATACAATTAGCTAAGTAGTTTTGATGAATGGCTGTAAAATACTCCATTTACTGCTACACCAACCTGCCTCTTCAGCCTTCTGTAAAGACTTCTGAGCTTCCTCTCGTCTTTCAGCTCTTTTATTTAACTCTCCTGATTTCATTTCTGGTGGTTTCCCATCAAAAACGTATACTGGTTTGATACCATTTTCCACAAGTCGAATTGTTCGATAAAATGTTCCCATAAGGTGGCTTAACGAAAAAATTTACAGAGAATAACCTTTTGAACGGCATTTTCAGATAAAGACATAAGAAGGAATTGTTTTCATCGATTGTAATGAAAATTACCTGGTTGTCTCACCAGAAGCATCTGTAAGTTGGGCACCTTCACTTCTGACAGCAATTAAAAATTGGTATAAACTCATCGATGCATCAATGGCAACTTTACGGCCTGTAACAAGGAGGTGAGGATAAAGATAGACAGTGAGAAGAGTTATAACGTCAATTCTGCAAATTTGTGAAATGAACAACAAGCATGGGTCCGTGATAACCTGAATCAAACCCGGCGGGCATTCTTACCAAAGTAGTTTTTCATTTCATTTTCCTTGACAGCGCCGGGCGCCACATCGGCAATGAGTTTAGACAATCCTTGAATTCCCATGATGCTAGAACTCGTGCTAAATTGGTGCGAGATAAATACAGAGAAGCAAACAACTTTTGATCTGGCGCCAAACATCAAAACAAAACAGCTCGCCGCCACTCGCCTTTGTTGAAAGGAGTAGAAAGTTTTTCATATCATTTCTTGAACGAAGAGTGGTGGGGAAGTTGGCGTCACATTCACATACGAGCGGCAGAAGGGAGAACGTACTCGAGGGGTAGCTACGCGGTTTCCGGGCTTTCCGTCAATACTCCAGGCTCGAGCAGGGTGTGTCGCCATCGTCGTTGTATCCGTGGGAGGGTTGTAGAAAAGTCAGTACCCTGCCACGCGTGTAAATGTAAGTTCGCAGCACCCAGGTAAAGGTTTCCCCACAATATACGTTAACACACTCCTTGCGACGAGACCACTATGTCTTATATCACTGGCACCAAAAATGAGCCGCAAGGACGCTGATGACAGCGCGATAGCGCCTACGGAGGGTTGGGTAGGCCAACCCGCCAAACAGCCGTGTGAAGCCGGTGGCCCGCCCGGAGCGCCCAAGCAGTGCGGTCGCTTTTAGAGCAAGAGGACTTTTGACGCCCAGCAACGTTCCCATGCGAAAATGGATACATTTATTGCAGGCACTTTGAAATGCAGGAATACACGACCACTTCGCTATAAGATATTTTCGACCGATTCCTGCAACAATAATCAGAGAATCAGAGACATAGAGAACGACTTAATTCGTCGGCGTGAAAAATACAAATAAAACGTTAAGCGGGAGGAATAATGGTGGGCAGAGAAAGGTGTACATGGTGCTCGCTCTGCTACACCCACCGCCGCAAGCACACACGGCACACCATTCCAGACGGACAAAGCACGAGGATGGCGTGCCGCGTCGGACCAAACCCCAGACGGGGGCGGGGCGGGCGGGCGAGGGAGTGGATGGAGTAAAGAGGAAGGAAGGAAGAGCGATGGACCGCCACGCCGCGCCACGACGCGGACAAGGATCCCCCAGGATGGCCGCGGGGCAGGGCTCTGCCCTCCCAACCCATCCTGATGGCATGCCATCCTGGTACCCCCCCCCCCCCTCACGGTCTCCCTTCGCTCTCCACAACTCGCAGGAGGTATTAAAGGCGGCGCGTACGAATCGCCAGCGACGCGCAGAGCCGCGGGTATCCTCCTCCTCCTGGAGTGGAGAGGGGCTCCAGGAGGAGGAAGAGGAGAAGCAGCGCCGCAGGGCGACTTCCCCGGAAGCAGCCCGGAGCGGAGCCGCTGCGCTGCGGCTGGCCACCGGAAGTGGAGAGCGAGCAGCGGCGACGCTCCTCCTTCTTCGCTTGGTCTCTCAGACCGCCTCTCAGACCGTCTCCCAGACGGGCCCGCGACCACGGACTGGACGAGACGCGCGGATGGTAAGTAGTGGCCCCCCCCTCCTGGTCTGCGACAGGTGCTCGTGCGGGGACCCGCGGGACAACAACGCCGCAGCGGGAAAACTACCCCTCTTCTGATCCCTCTCACCTGGCCCGGTCGGCCGTCTATCTCCCCCTCATCTGTAGGGGTGCATAAGCCATCTCCCGTCGGGCGGGAGGGGTGGGGCGGTGTGGGGTGGCGGCGCTGTGTCCGTGCAGCCGTCGGGTACCCACGGTACCACGGCGTACCCTCCGCGCGGGGGACGCAATGGGTACGCTGCGGCGGCACACCCCCCGGGGCGGGGTAGCCACCCGATGCAGCAGCAGCAGCGACGGGGTCCATCGGGTTCGTTTACACAAGCCTGGGCACCCGGAGCGCGGCCAAGTCGGCGTCACGCTCGGGTAGCCTGCGGTGCCCGGCGGGTACCCGGCCGCCGTGTGGGTAGCAGTGGGTGCTCCCCCACCTCCACCTTCAGCTCCGCGCGCTCCGCAGTACGGCAGCCGGTTTGCTCGCCCGTTCGCTCCATGGACCGTCCCGGCAAACACCGTGCGGGAGAAAGGAGTGAGGGAATATGAGGGACGTGCACAAATTACACTGATTTTTTTTGTACGGCGCTCCATTTGGATTCCGTACCGTAAACAGATAAGTTTGACGCGCAAATGATGAAGTTATTATCCTCGTAAGTATTAATTTTGAACTTAGGAAGCCAGTTTTAACAAAAGCTCGTTTCTAAGCCAACTTCTATTGCGGCTCTCATTTACGGGGCTGTGAGAAAAGTCACCCACTTGGAGAGAGTGTAATTCGTGAACGATCATCAAACGAACGTTTTCCTCATGTACCGGCACGAGAGCACGAGAGAGGAGAACCCCGCTGCTGCGGGGGCGGGAAGCCTCTCTGTGAAAAGTGCAGCACTGCGAACGGTGGTGGTGGTGGCGGCAGGTGGAGCCACCCCGGCGGGCCCGGGGGGATGGGGTATGATGGGGGATGCGGAGCGACGCGTCGGTTGCAACGACACCCCATCACCCGCGGCACCGGCCCCGCCGCCTGCGCCGCGCCTGTGTGCGTGTGAGCCGACCACGCCACGCCACGCCACCGCCCACGCCCGATAATGGAAGTGCAGCGAAAACAGATGGGAGTGCGTCGCACAGCGTAGCTCAGGGACGACGACGCCCGTAGGCCCCCTAGCCTGGCGTCGCGATGCTGTCAGTCCCGCGCTCCGGGAAAGAAAAAGGAAGGCACGTGTAAAAGCCCGTGCAGGGCCCGCGTGTCCCGCGAGCGGGTTTCTGAGAGGCTCCACCGACGCTCTGCCCGCCTCCTCCGCCTCCCCCACTGCCCCGGGCCCGCGCCGCAGCCATCTTGAAGAGGCCAGTAAAAGAAGGAAACGAGATGACCAGACAGGCTCTGCCCCGCCCGGCCCGGCCCACTCTGGGAACACACTCATCTCCATGATGGTACCCGACCGGGTACTCACTGGCTGGACACGGGCGCCCTGAGCCATGACGGCGGCGGCGTGGCGCGTCTGGACGGGACGGGGAGCAGAGGAGCAGGAAGGGAGGTGAGGCGGGGGCGGCAAAGCGGCGCCCCTCGGCATGACCTCAGACATAACCGTCGTCGTCGTCGCCAGCATCGCCAGACGTCGTCGGCCGTCGCGACGCCTGGTGTCGCCCGTGAGCGTCATGATCACTGCTTGCAGCAGCAGCAGCGTCGAGCGCAGCGGTCATCACCTCGTGGAGCCCGCGGGCGCTGAACTGCTCCCGCGCGCCGCGCGGAGCAGCCGCGGCTCTCAGTCTCGCATGAGTGCCATAGGAGAGGAACTTGGGGGCCCTCGCGTCCAGCAGCTGGCTCTCTAGGACCAGAGGAGGTGGATAGAGGGGCGAGGGACGGCCAAGAGGGTGTGTGTGAGGGAGATGGATGGGAGGAGAGAGGGAGGGGAGGAGAGAGGGAGAGAGAACGAGCAGCGTGAGGCGGGTTGGCGGATCAGCAGAGGGAGAGACGGGAAGAAAAAGACAAAGATCTCTTCGTGCAGCGGCCGAGCTCTGCGGAGGTACGTCCTGCCACCACCGGCTCGTTTTCGCTGATCGCCAAGACAACGACGCGCCTCCAGGCCGCCTCCAGGCTCCCCACCGCTGCTCGCCCGTCCAGTTTTCCATCATTACTCCGAAACGCAACGTTCAGAGAAACGTTTCCAGGAGGGAACGAGATGGAGAGAGGGAGGGAGAGAGAGAGAGATGAGGGGGACGAAGGAGGCGGACACTCGCTCCGCCTGCTCCGGCCTGCTCCGCGCCGGCCCGTTCTGCTCCAGTGCGCGCCCCGGATGCACCCGGCTGTATAAAAGTGTGTATGAAGTCGGCGGGCCGCTCCGGGCCGGCTGCCTCCGCCGTGGGCTCCGCCATCAACATGCCCCCCGTCTCGATCTCCGCGTCGGAGGAAGAGAGGGCCTGTTCCGTGTAAAGGGTGTTGCCCGCAGGCGGCCGCCCCCTGGGCCTGGGCTTGCCTCGCACGGTGTGCTCGGGCCGCCGACCGTTGGGCGTCAGCCCGGCGGGTAGGCAATCCAACGGACAGCGGGGCGCGGCGGGACAGACTACCTCTCAGGCTGTCGCAGCGAGACGCTCGAGCGTCTGCTCGCGATAAGCCTCAGACATACTTGGGATGGGCGGGGCATCCCTGCGGCCCCAGGAGGCCTCCCGGCGGCTGAGCATCCCATCCCCCGTCCTGGTGCCGGACTTTTGAGACGACGTCCCCCTCAGAGAACACGGGTTTGACATCTCCATCACCGGCCACGTACCTATCGCTCTCGCTCCGTCTCACTCGCACTCCCCCGGGGCCCGGGGGACACACCCAACCCCTTCTATCTCCCTCTCGCTCGCTCTCGTTACGAGCCGCTGCTGCTGGTGGCACAACAGCCCAGCCAGCAACAGCAGCCCGAGCCGTTCCAGTTCGATTGTAATGGCATGTTTTGACTCTGCTGGAGCCCGGCGGGTGGGGCGAGGGCACGGGGAGGAGGACTGCCGTCTGCAACACGCCCGCCGTCGCCAGGATGAGGACGACTTCTTTCTCCCATCACGTCTAGACCCGACCAGATAATATGCTCTCCCATGCCATTCTTTTAGATATGACCCGGGACCGTAGCAAATTCTTCCTCAGACTCCGCTTTCCGCTGGCGGCCGGCAGCGAGGACGTGGTGCTGCAAAATACCCCCCACCCCCGCCGATTTCGGCAAAAATTAATAATAATGATGATGATGATGATAAATAAAAAGGGTGGTATTGTCAGTTTTTATCTCTCCAGGCCGGTCTTCATTTCCTCCGGCGCTCCTCCTCCTCCTCCTGCTGCTGCTGCTGCCGCTGGTCTCTCCGGGGCTGACCTTGACCATGGCTGGCTGCTCTCCGGGCGGCTGGTGGCGGGGCGGGGCGGGGCGCGGCGGCCATCTTTACGGCGCTGATGACTTGGTGGACCCCCGCGGTCTGACTGCTCGCCTCCTCTCTTCCTCTCCACTCCGTCCGGCCACCGTCCGGCCGTCCAGGCCCAACGCCCGCCAAACTGGATACTAACTGCCTCAAATCCTTATTCCAAAACCCATTGTGCTTCGCTTCCCGGGCCCCCGGGGGGTTCAGCGCTGCGGAAACATCCTTGAGCGGCGACGGGCGTCCTGTCGGGATAGCTGGGCTTGGACAACAAGCACGTGCACCGCTATATATACTCGACCAGGGTGGTGACCACTCTGGTGTCCATGTCGATGTAGTATCCCATTGTAAGACACCTGTAAACAACACGCTGTTGCCCGGCTCGTGACGCACCCTGATTCCCTGAACGCTGCTCGGGCTGCTCTCCCGGGGGTCCGGGGCGGACGGGGGTGGGCCGTCCCCAGCGGCAGCAGGCGCAGGCCGGTCCGTGCCGGGGCCAGCTTGTCCTTCGGAAGGTGCCACTGGGTCGGGGACCGCAGGGCAGGGCTCCGGCG